GAGCGCGAAAGAACGGTTCGCGGACCCTGTTCATTCGCGTCTAACGCGCGTTTGAACGAGGATTGAACGCGAATTGAACGCGCGTTCAATTTTTTAACGCGGACCCCGCGTTAAATCGAATTTCGGACACATAGCACATACACACATTCACACACACACGCACACACACACGCACACACACACACACACACACACACACACACACACACACACACACACACACACACACACACACGTACTACTGGTCATTGCAAAATAACAGTACTATTTTTATTTTTATTTTTTTCATTCCTTGAAATTTTCCTTGTTACACAACCAAAAAAAAAAAAAAAACCCCATAAAATTGAAGAAGACAAAGAACTGCCAACCAAAAATCCCCCCCCCCGCAAAAAAACTACTTTTTTTTTTTTTTTCTTAATTTCCTCTCTCCAACTTTTCTGTTTTTTTAATTTTATTTATGATTCCATAAAGTTCCTTGTTTCCTTAGAAAAGAATATGCGGTTGTAAGGTTTGAGAAACCCTACAACCCCCCCTTTTTTTTTCTTTTTTTGCCTATTATTTTCGACAGGAAAAATTCATGAAAAACGTGGCCGCTATGCGGCCGACCCGAGCCGCGGATGCGGCCATGAACATGGCCGCCCTCCGAGCCCGACCCTGCAGCCTCGGTGCATGGTGGGTGGGTGGGCTATGTATCACCCGCGGTCATGACCGCGAGTTTTTTGGCCATATGCGGGCATGTTCATGCCTACGGGGGCCAACCGTTGAGGCCAAGTGCGGTCGGAAAACCCCGGCATTTTTAATTCCTAGGATAATAGGCCAAAAAAAAAAAAAAATGGGGATTGAGGGTTTCAAAAACCCTACCTCCCTATAATTTTTGTTTGTTTTTTTTTGTCCTTAATCCGAGGCCACGGCCCCGATGAGCCCCCTTTTTTTGGCTCTGTTATGCAGCACGTCGACCGTCCTAAGTGAAGGCAGGCTCGACGAGGGCCTGAGGGCCTCTATTTCGGTCACCACGCAACTTCGGAAAATTCAGGCAATTGCGCAGCGCCAGTTGGTTGAAGAGCACCCTGGCCCAGGCCGCCTGTTTGCATGTGTGGAAGGCAGGCCCTGGGCTGGATACGGGATATGGGTCGAACACAGGCCGAGGACAGTTGGGCACAAGTAACAACCACAGGCCCTGGACCTGATTCATTTGGACCGGGCCTCAGCCTACCGGGGCCTACCGGAAGGTTCTTGGGACAGGCCCAGCACAGCAGCAGGCAGGCCACTTCCATATAGCAAAGGGCCTGCCTCCGCATTGGACATTCGGGTTCTGGCTGCATGATGCACAAGCGCTGCTTCGCTGAAGTTGGATAGCGCTCACGCGCTCACGGGCGAGCTGAAAGAAGCAGGCAGCCATAGCCGAGCTGCGCTGCTGGGAGCTGGGTGAGGCGCAGGGTGGTCCTTGGGTGCATGTGGCATATGTGCGTTGGGGAACGAGGTTGTGAGTGATGCGAGAGACATACCTGGTGCTGGAAGCGTGCGGCATTGGCCGCTATCTGCTCGTACTTCGGGAAAGTTGTTGTCGTCATCTTCGGCATTGTAGTCTAGGCTAGATAGGATCTGCCATCTTTAGTCTGGGCGCCGAGCGCCAGATAGGATATCAACATTGGTTCTTCGTTGATGATGATGAGACTATTCCCGCATTGTCCATTATGAGCTTTTGGTGTGCTCTTATTTGGTGAAACTCGTGATGCTATTCTGCTCTTGGTTCGAGGTCACGACTATCTGGTCTTATGTGTATGATGTTGTTTGATTGTTGAAGTTCACTATTGCTCATCTTCCTTGCAATTTGGTATCAGAGTTGTCGTACGTTGCGCTCATCTGGCGCTTGTCTTCTGCCTATGGGGTACATACATGCGGTCTGCTTGGTGAGCCTGGCCGTAGGTGGTGTGTAGTGAGGAGGGCGGAGACAAGGTGTTGGCGACCCAGGAGGAGAGGGGAATCGCCAAGATGGCTACGGTGTGTATGTTGGGTGTTCGCAGTGTGATGAGAACTATCTGGTGGTTGATTGATGAATTTGATGTTAAGGTGGAACAGCGAGAAAATGCTGGCTGTGCCGATGCAGTGACTGGTTATCGCAATCGCCATCAGGTCATCTGGTGAGAATATCTGTGGTTGGGGGCAGCTATAATGAGGTACGTTGCTCTTAACCATATCTACCCTCTTCATCACTTCTTATCGTGAGGTTGTGAGTTCCTTCTTGAGAGTCCTCTCAGGTGAGGTGTCGTGTGCGCTCAACCTTGAGAGTCGGCATTGTTCACGTGGAGCATCTGGAAGGAGAGGGCGGTGCTTTCTGAAGGGTCTTGGACGGAGCACTGGGTCACGGTTACCATGCCAACCCATCGGGAGTAGAGCACGCATGCTTTGCTGCTTTGTCCTTGTCTGCTTGCTGCGCTCATAGAAGGGGTACTGAAAGGCAGGCCAGCCCTATGGGAGAGATGAGTACCGGGCGTCTATAAACAAACACCGTTTGGGGAAACCATTGGTTGTGATCGTCGTCCTGCTGCGACGTAAAATAATTCCTGATGACACTTAGGGGCGGTCGTTAAATTGCCTCTGGATCAGCCAATTGGTGGGTAAGGCTCACTGCATGCGAGGATAAATACAGTGCAGGGCTGGCCAGCTCCACAGCTACTCGGGGCACATGGGTGGGCCATGTGCACACCTTTAGTCACACACGCCCAACCGGATTGCTTGGGGACATTGACGTTAAGTGACAATCAAGGGGAATTGGGGAAGGGGTAAATTCCACGTGATAAGTTTAAGTAAAATCCCATGCTGCAAACAGACCAAACAAATGATGTTATTTTTAATTTGATTAGTTAGATGTATTGCCATTGGCATCTGACCGACAACATAGTTTAGAACAGCTTCTGTTCATTGTGCTTTCTGTTTGCGAGCTAGTCAAAGTACAATAGTATTATTTGTAGGAATCTGAACTTACCTGTTCATCCCAAATGTATCTAGTATAGAAAAAAAGTTACCAATTAATTATTTATTTATTTTAAATCGGTCTGGGCATTACGCTATGGTAGGCACCTAGAGTAGTCTAGTGCAGATTTTGCTCAGTGCTGTAGCTTATGAGCGACAGGGAGGTTCCACAACCGGATGACCGGCTATTGCGATTGGTTGGACGCCCGATTGCCCATTTGGCTTAAGGACTACAGGGCGACAATGTCGCGACATATATCTGTTTCGACAACTTAGGGAGAGGCAGCAGCAGCAGAGGAGAGCCAGAGCAACAGAGGCTGGCAGGGCACTTATAAGTGAAGCCGCAACTTTGGAAGTCATGGCCACTTCTGCGCAACAGACTTCATAGGCTGGTAGTTCAGGATCTGTAGGGTCAACGGTCACGCAGACCCAAAGTCAGTCCGCTGGCGTTATGGCAAGCCAGCCATTAGTGATGACTCCCGAGGAGGTCGCCATACAGTGAGCTGTTGATCGCGAGGCACAGCTACAACAGGCTTTAGAAGAGATTA